AGCATAGGTCCCGAGAGGTTCTCTTTTAGGGGGAGTGGTATACTTCAAGAAGTGTTGGAGGGACTGAGCCATGATAGAGGGTTGCAGAGAGGAAGATAGAGGCATCAGAGCTGATAAGGGAACCCAGGACATGTTCCTGTGATCCCCAGAGCCCATTGAAGGGGACTCATATGTGCAAGACTGAGAGGAGTCAGGGCTCCTAGGGAAGCAAGAGTCTCCAAATGTAAAAGAAGTGCTTTAGATACCAAAATGTCCATGAAAAAATGGAGGAATGAAAGGACACGTGGAAATGTGTAGAAAGGCATTTGAAACCTGGGAGAGAGCTTTTGTAACTCCTGCCACCAACAAAGATGACATCATATTCTCAAAATGATGAAGGGGCAGAGGATTGGTGGGAAGAGGATAAAAAAATGGATAGTGAGAAAGAAGAGAAGGAGTATGAAAGAGGAGAGAGAGAAATGATGAAAAAGAATATGCAGAACCTCAGGGTAACTGGAGAAGGAAGAACACATAAGGATAAAGTGGAAGAGGTGGACATTGATGGGACCAGAGCCCAGGATCAGTTCGAAAGAAGAGTCTGAGTGGGTCATCACAAGAAGATTGGGAAACTGCGACTGAAGAAAAGGGCAAGCCCAATAAGTTGCAATCATCTCCAGTGTAGAGCTGGGAGATCTAATCAACAATCTGTAAGCAGCAACTACACCAGTGTGTGTAAAGTTAACTAACTGATTAATCAAAATTCTGATTGATGGTCATAAAAATATTCACCTAATTGGAATATTAATTATATTTGTCATAAGATGTTATGTTAGATCTATTATACTTTTTAACACTACACTCCTAATCTAATCATTTATGGATTATCAAGATTAGAAGTGTGTATGATAATAGTATTTCAACAACATTATATTAATTGTATAATAATCAACATACTGCTATTATGTTTGTTTGCTGTTAAGCAGAAAGCTACATAATGGGCTGTCTGTCCTTTGCTCAACCTTACAAATTAGTACTTTTTTATTATAAGTTTGCTCAGCTTTGGTGATTCAAGAGAAAGGGGGGCTAGTGAGTCTAGGACTTGAGTTCAATTTCCACAACCACCAAACCTGTTCACCCTGTTTTTTATAGGAAAGATACTAAAATTATTTGCCACTGTCAATAAATTTGAAATGATGACTAGAGGGAAGACAACTGTCCGGTGACACCCACTGCCACATTTTGTTTGCTTATATGTATTATGGTTTGAGGAACACTATATTAGTTAATTAATGAAACCATTGATAAATTGATTCAAAAATATCACCAACTTCCCAGCCCTACACCTGTATAATCAAAGCAGAAAAGGTAGAAGGTGGGGTTACCTGTTCCTTGCCAGGAAGAAAATTAGAAGCAAATGTAGGTTGTTGGGACAGCTGGTCTAAATCATCAAAAGACATGGAAGGTTCAGCTGAAGCAACAAAAGCAAGAGGTCAAGAATTCTGGATCCGAGTTGATTGAGGCAGAATGGAATCAATTTCTTTGTAAACATTAAGAGCCACACCATTGATTGTCAGAGTGCTTCCAGTTGTCACTGAAACAGTAGATGACTCCTTTTGTGGAGTGCCAGGACCTCTTGAAGTACCAGAAACTTGAATATATGAATTCATCATTAAGACAGTCCCTGAAAATATTTAATTTTTTTATAGTTTACATTGATTTTGATTTAATTGCACTTGATTATAGCCCAAGATATGTAGGTAGTAAGTTAAATAGACTTTTAACTGAAAGATAAAGTAAGAAGCACATTGCAGTATTTCCCATAAGCCAGAAAACAAAAGAACATGTCTGGAGTCAAGCACAATGAAAGAATGAGCTTTTGTAAATACATAATGTGCTCATGGGGAATAATGCACTTAGATGATGTGTTGCCCTCCTATTGGTGGAGTGCTATAGTATAAAGCTGATTGTATCATAGACTGGTGCAGTAAAATATGTAGGGGTGAGAGTTTAATTCAAAGGCTTGTTGCATGTGTTAAAACCTTTCTGCAATGAAACAAGGTAATAGTTCTCAGTTCTATGGAGAAGTGAGTAGTTTTTTTGTAATCATCTGTCAAGTCTATGTGTGTTGTCTTTTATGTTGAAATAAAGTTTCTGGGAATTCACAGTTTCTTTCTGGTGTTGAGCTAGTTAAGATTAATGTGAACATTTTAGTGTTATGTGTTATTTAAGAATTGTCAGTATTATATTTAATGAAATAGGAAAACAGGTTTAGAAATCTCAGTAAAATAAAGTAAATTTATTAACACAACATTCTTTTGCCCTGAACCTTTTTGAATGTCTTTTCAATTTACTCTACTGCTTATTATTTCCTTCATATAAGCACTTTGATGTAATGCTGCAACTTTACCAGCAATCATTAGATATTTCTATTTACTTTTAAACATCAGAATAAGCCAAATGATAACTAAAAGATGAAGGTGAAACGTTGAACACTGTATATATTAAATGTTTGAATATAATAAATAAACTTTCAATATCCATTAATGTTGGTAGTAACAGAAACTTACAGTACCAGCTATTACTTGTATCTTGAGTTACTTTATCTTCACATTACAGTATTAATATACAACTGTATGTGGTATAGTTACAATTAAAATTAATACATTTTATATGGAAAAATATTCCAAAAAAGTAATTTTTATTTCATTAAAGCTGAAAATTAAATACATTATAAAGAGTACATTGTTTCACCCTATCTCTACAGATCTTTATGTGGTCACAAATCAAAAGCCATGTCATTGCATTTGAAGACTCGTATTCAAAATTTTATTGAACTACTATTTTATGAATGTATGTCAATAAGTTTGGTATCAAATTGTAGATTATAATTCAAATTTTAGTATTATATGTTAGTTAATTCCTTAATTCAAAAGTAAATAAAAAAATCCTAAACACCAATTTTTGTGTATCTCGTGGTATTCTGAATGCAGCACTGCTTCAAATTAGATGCTTGTGATGTCCAAATACAAAGTATTTAGTTTCTTATGAATTTGAAACTCAAATTACTGATATTGACAAGCTAAAATATAAAATAAGAATCTCCTATCTTTTATGGATTCACCAAATATTAGGTGGCCCCACCCAGTTCTTCCATTTTTGGAAATACTTGCTTACATATGCGTGTATAACTAATAGAAAGCTCAGAATGTCCTTTAGTGGTTTTCTCAGCCTCTGTGAAGTATTTATATGGGAAGGTCTTTCTTTTCATGGTAGATTTCAAGCAGTAAGGGAAGACATTAGTGAGATCAAAAAATCATATTTTTTTAGACTCAAATATAGCTTAGTTACTAAGCCTGATAAATTATAGTGGAATTCAGTGGTTATGATTTATGATTTTTTTAAAATGTATATATAAAACCTATAAGAATTATTTTGTTTTACATCCTCCACTTAGAACATTTGATAAGGCTTAGCAAGTTACGACAAGCAGCAAATGAGTACAAAGTTTGTAAAAAGAAGAGATGATTATTTTCTATACTTCATTATTTACTGTTTTATATTTTAAGAAAAAATAACTGAAATTTAAGAACTTATTTGTAAATAGAAAGAATTTATATACATATATAATGTATTATAACCAAAATGTGACTGTATTTTACAAAATACTGGTCCAGTAGAATACAGTAAAGACAGGTCACTTTGTAAAGACCAGTTTTATATTATTGGATACAGTAACATGAGTGCACATGCTCCACATCATTCAACTTCTGTAATGTTAATCAGATACTGTTGAAAAGTCAATAAAATAAAAATAATAAACTTTATATATGTATAATGATATGAGATTTAAGCTATTTAGACTAAACATTTGTGGTTTTGTGTATTAATTTGTAGTATTTCAAGAATGAAAAAAAGTGTAAGTTATGTATATTTCCTAATTTTTTATGGTGGTTATGAGGTTTGTCGAATTGACCAAACCCATACAGTGATACAATAGTGAAAATAACAGATAAAATATAAAGTTTTTTTCTAAGAGAAATGTTTGATAATTATCTGAAGGTTATCAGAAGATTATAAAGATTTCACATATGAAATTTGATAATTTTCTGATGCACAAAAGTATTTTTAATATTAAAATCAAAACTACTTTGCATATTGAATAATGAACATTCCAAAAGAAAATAAACACGAGCAAATAATTAATTAAAAATGTTAAACTTAATCAAAAAATCTGATAATTTGTGTGTGAATTCCTTGTAATGTTTACTGATAATTTGCCAAAATTTTGTGAAGATACGTGTAAATTTTAAAAAGTTACAGTATAACTGCTTTATGGTTACTTTGGGGGATACTGGCTGGGTGGAATTCACCCATTCATAGTAGAAGGGTTAAACTTAGCCCTGACATGTATTAAATGTACCACAATAATAGATTCTATACTAAATGATTTGAGCTGCAATCAGTGTTCCCTCGAAGCTGCTTGGCCACACAACAACTAATCAAGTGCTGTGCACTTAATTATTCCTGCTGCGCACATCCTCAGTAATGGTGAAGAGTTTCAACATGTTGACGGCATTAATGATCCTGGCAGTCGATAGCCTTAAAGCCCAAATAACCAATTGGTAGCATTGCAAGGTGGCCTAATGATCCAATAAGGTCGATGTTCTTAAAATACCACTACCCCTAAAAAAAACTGGTAGAGCACAACCACAAATTGCTTTGATACTGGTGCACATGAAAAAATTCATTACACATGGATTGAAAAAATAAAAAGGAATATTAGCTGTAATACATATTGTAGTCAGTAATGGAAATTCACTTGGGAGCAAGTATATTTAGAAGTAGAATAGTAACATGGTCCTCAATGAGATCTTGTTATTTTGTAGAAAACAATATCTAATTAAACTCAAAATTAAATACTGGAGTGCTCTGTTAACATGTTTAATTTGAATAAAGTGCCATCAATACATACAACCCTTCAAAATACTATAAAAAGCAAACATAAAATATTAGTATCATACTCAGGTGTTTCTTCCTTAAACCATGTCCAAAGCTCAGCTCCAGGTGGTGCACTGATGTATGGTAATTCTTGCACCGAATGATGACCTAATATCTCTCCAAGAGACAGTGGAAAAACCTGAAGTGTTGAGCTACATAGTAAAAATTTAAACTGTTAAGTATTTAAACAGACTTTAAAACAATTTTAAGCTAAGAAATAATTGATGAATAAATGTAAAGCCGCTTACATTTCTACTACATA